GCCTGTCTTATGTTGTCTGTCACTTGTCTTGTTCACCACCCCTTAACACGAAGCAAAGTAACAGCGGGCAAAGCAAGCAAGCAAGCACATATACACACATACATATATACAGCAATATATAGATAATCAATATAATATAGTAAAGACAAGGGCAAAGGTAAAAGACAAAGGTAAAAGTTCCTGCCTTGCTTGCTTGCACATACATACATATATACACACATGGGTACACAACCCTATCTATCTCTCTATCTATCTCTCTCTCTCTCTCGCCAGCCTGTCGTCAGCACCGTCAGCACACTTACTAAATGCAGTGCACTGCACTGCACCTGCGTGTATATCAAGATCAGAATGAAATATATATTAGCAAAGACTGTCTGTCACTAACTGGCTTTCGATTGTCCCTTATCTTTTTGCTTTTCGCTTTCACTTTGAGGCGAAGGAGAAGGAAGGAAAGACAGGTGGTCCGCGAAAGTGTGCATTCAATACCTGTCTATCGCAAGGTCTATATTCGTTGCAATTGCAGCTACAACACTAGCTAGCTAGCTAGCTCTATACCAGCGTGACTTTGCTCCTAGGCGATCCAGCTACACGCATAGCCTAGTCCCATAAGCGAGCCCCTTCTGAGCCTCTAACTGTACAGGCCAAGCCGCCCCTCTCTACTCATACGCGAATTGTCCAATGTTTTGCTCTCTCTGCATCTACCTCTCGCCGCGCCTTCAATCTCTGTCCTCCTCCTCGTCGTTCACTGGCTTGTACCTCCCGCTCTTGTTACTCGAGAGGCTTGAGCTCTCGCCGTTCCTGCTTACCATACGCGAGATCCAGCCTCCGACGCCTTCGTTGTTGGACTCGTCATCGGCGTACTGCGGCTTCCCATCCTTGATGTTGACGTGTGGGGGATCAATATCGAGACCTGGGATAGCGTTAGAAGCTCCTTGGATACCCCTTCTGAGATCCATCGATGGAACGGGCGAGCTGACACCCAACAGGGACCCGGCTTCAGCTCGGGTTTGCGGGGTGGGCATTGCAGTTGTTGCGTCGCCGAAGAGAACGTCCATGTCTTCTAGTCTGACACCTGCCGTCTCTGGGTAGATAAAATATACTGGTATCGTGTTAGAGAGGACTGCGATATGGGTAGGAGCACTCACCAACAACGAAACTAGTGACACAGAAGAATGCGTGCACGAGGTAGAGGCGCCATTTAATCCATTCCTGTAGCACAGGAGTCATTTCACCCACCAGCCAGTTGAACGCCCAATTGGTTGCGGTGGACAAACTTGTGCCTTTAGAACGAATACTGAGGGGTAGAATCTCGGGAGGGTATAACCAGGGAATTGGCCCCCAACTAAATCCAAATGCAGCATTATATATCATGACGAAAATAACGACAAGCGTCGGGGTCATAAGAATATCCAGGAACAAGAAATACGAGATCAGTGATAGCGATACTGCCATGGCTAGTGCTCCGCTGAGAAGGATAAGGCGACGGCCCCAGCGATCCACAAGATACCACGTTGGTACGGTAGACATGAGGTAAGTGATGGCGTTGATTCCAGTCATCAGAATGGCCTGGCGACCGATCCATCCGGCCGATTCAAATACCAATGGGGCGTAGTAGGATATGACATTGATGCCATTGAGTTGCGCAAGGGCTTGGGCAGAGCAGGCAATGAATACGCGAGTCTTGTATCGGCGGAACATGTCAGAGTAGGACTTTTCTCCTTCCTGTCTTTGAAGTAAGACATCCATCTTGATTTCTCTGAACTCATCTCTTGCTTTTGCATTGTGTATATCTCCACCCCCATAAAGGTTGGCAATGACAACAATGCCCTCTTCGTCATGGTCGTTATCCAAAAGCCATCTATGACAAATTAGTACAAGCAGAGTAACACGGGCTATGTTGTCCTACCTTGGCGACTCGACAATGATGAGACTACCAAGCCCAAGCAGCGCACCCATCACACATTGCATCAACAACGGGATTCTCCAAGAGTAGTTGTTGTTGATAAAGCTGCAAAAGTAGTCCACCCAGACCGATGTCGCGTATCCAGTGATGTTCCCAGAAAATTCGATACACGCGAGCTTCCCGCGATTGTGAGGAGGCGAGATTTCGGATTGGTAGACGGGAACGATGGTGGACAGCATGCCCACACCAACACCAGCAATGATACGTCCCAAGAGCATCATCGGCATTCCAGTTGCAAAGGTCTGCAAGGCGCCTCCAACGAAGAATATCATGGAGCCATATAAGATCGTCTTTCTCCGACCAATGATATCTCCTACTCTTCCAACAACGAGGGACGAGAAGAATGCACCAACTTCAAGAATAGCCACCATAGTACCTACCTCGGCTTTCGTGGGTTGGTTGAAGTAATCTTTGAAGAATGGGCCGCTGGGGATAGCTTAGTAGAGATCCTTGGGGAGCCGGCCATCTGTGTTTACTTACGTGATAATGCCCGACATGACACCCTGATCATAGCCAAAAAGAAATACTCCTAATGAAACAAAGATACTAGTGAAGTATCTACGCGATTGTCAGTCACTGAAAGTAGCGACTGGACTTCCTACGCCTACACTAATGGCTTGCCCGTCAGGCCATGCATCTGCCTCTCTCCTCCCGACATGATGGCAGCGAGTATGTGTTCTGCTCTAGTGATGTAGCGCGGACCCGGTCTGGGTATCTCAATATCCTCCTTAACGAGTCCAGGATGGTATGGTTTGGATTCGACGTCGTCGGGCTCGTCTTGATATCGGACTTTCTGATGCCGAGAAGCCCTCTTCGAAGAACCACCACCGGATACCTTCCCGTCGAGAGGTTCACGTAGCTTGATCCGCAATGGATCTTCAGCGTCTGCCAATTGCTCTCCAAGATCACCAGTATCACTCCACGAGAACTCTGAGCTGGGCGACGACGACCTCGAGAGAGAAGACCGGCGGCCTTGATTTTCGTCAGAATGTCGGGCCAGCAGAGCAGCTGAGTGCGAGTCAGATCGGGATGCTTGGGTCGGTAATGTTCGCAACGGTATATTTGCAGGACGACGGGAAGCCTGTGGAGAAGTAATGATGAGGGTCGTGGGACTGTTTAGCAGCAGTCCTCCGCGTTGGGGAATTGGAGGGGGATTGGGAGGAGGGGTGAGGTGCAGGCAGCTCTCGTCAAGGGTCCAGTCGTGTCGATCGGGGAATTAGTTAGTTAGTTCCCTCACTGTCTGTCTGTCTCTCCCTCTCGGGGGCCGGATAGCGCAAAGGAGGAAAACTTCTTAATGGCCAAAGAGGAACCGCGGATGCATGAGGGTAGGATGGGTCCGGTCAGTTACGGCGCGTATGGAACGGATGAATGGACGATGGAGATCAGAAAGGGACGGCTGATGGACTCGGAGTGGAATAGGAGAGAAACAGAGTTGACGATGTTGGCACGAGACAACCGGCGACGACGGGTCCCTGGGCCTGGGCATGGGGATGTGGGCATGACGATGGGCCCAGCAGATGGGGCACGTGATCTACAACCAGAACCCCTTTTGCACGGGATATCGACGGATGAAACGGAGACGGGAAACTCGTGGCAATCAATCGATAATGGCATCGATGCTTGGGTGTGTCGCTTAGCTGTGTTGGCGACAAGTAATCTATGTTATGTATGCATTCCACGGATCAATCAACAACGGAGGAGGCAGCTGACATCGGAAGCGAACACCTGCTAGCAGGCTTATTGGTATCCAGCACAATCCGATGTCAGGTTCAAGAGAGCAGCTAACAGCAACTAGACTGGTCGATAGTGCTGCAATGATTCAAGATGTTCCCATACAAGCAGGTCTCTCTTTTACTGTACAAGTTACAGTTAAGAATCTTTCATCTTTCAGAGGGCATTACATAGCCACCACTCCAGCTCTTCAAAAGCACACGAGTCAGGCAATGTGCGGGTGACCTGGCTGGCATCAATGGACAACTTGCTGCCCAGCTTCACCACCTTCTCCTCCAAGATCACGATCTAAGTCACACTGTGCTCGCGATGCACTCATGTCGTTGTCAGGATTGTCACGAGAGACGAGACTTGCAGAAGAAGAAGATCATACCTCCTATCAGCGACGAGCCGCTTCACAGCCTCGTATCGTGATGAAATTCCTAGCCGAGCGAGTTGAGGGATTGGCTGGTAACTGGATGCTCCTCAAAGACGTACTTCTAGATTCAACAGTCGTATGAAATATCGTTGCTTTCCTGCTCGCCAGATGCTTTGTCAACTATCAAGCAACAACAAGATGCCCACAGAGCCTTCCTTCTCCGAACATTGAATGGCCAAGGAGCTCAAGGAAGAGCCTCTTCCTCACGTCCATGATTTCTTCGGCTGCAGCCGAGAAGTCGAGAACTCGGCGAGTTATCGATACTTTTGGCCTGATACCTGTCCTGTGCCCTGCAGAAATTCATTAGCATCGTTAAGCACTTGCCACCTCCCCCGCGTCTTGAAAATGGCTTGCATATCTGGCTATCGGGCTATGTGATCATCTGGTTATCTAGCGAATCTAGGATCCCAAGTTGTGTTGTCAGTGCATGCATAACAACATGAAACGCAACGAAAAGGGCTATGCAAAAATGATAGAGCATGCTATGCAATGTTATCGGCCTTGGAAGCCCATCTTGCATAACCATTGACCGTAGATCCGGCTTTTTAGCTATGGTCGTACAAAGGCAAGTGCTATATAGATGCTGCATGAACTAATATTAATCTAAACCTAACGCTATTCTGCACGTTTCTATCTGAGAGTTGTAAGCAGAAAGCTTCTATTTGAGTTCTTATATTGCCGAACACAATAGTAATTGTAGTAGTAGTAGTAAGTAGTATTGATTTGCGTCGGGCGGTACGAGTAATCGTTACAACCATCACCACCCCCGATCACCTCTACTACTCTCGATCATTATGCGTTCTTAATAACTCGCCCTCATGCTAAAGGAACTACCTTAAAGACAGGTAAAGGGTCGTTTCAAAAGTCCGCTGACCATCCAATGACGATCTCTTTCAAGAGACGGTCCCAAAAGGTTGGCATAGATAGTGGATCACCTCAGGCCGATACCTCAATTAGAGTCAGCTCTATAATTAAATTGTTTTGGATATTTCACCGTAGTTACAATAGAATTGTTTCAATGAATCAAACTATCTTCTATAAAAGCTGGTCTCTTCGTTGAAAGACCGTCCGAGGACCGTTTGGGGACCGTCCTATAGCAATCCCATGGCCCTCCCTTACTCCCCCCACCCCTTCCACACCGTCTCACTTACCACCTCCATCTTCACGCGTGATCACGGGCGAGAGCTGGGTAAATGATTGCTGAATCGATTGATTCCGATTTTAAATCTGTTAAAGCGTTGATGTACCGGTATAAGCTGTAGCAGCGCGATATGGAGAAATATCCGGGCGCTGATTTTACTAAATTGTAATTAAATCGACGCTTTGAAAAGGAGAGCTTCTACGATCTGATTGTTTTTTATTTGAGATGATTAGTAGACTGATTTAAATGTTTAATACGAGCCCTTTAGTGAGCGTGTTTTGAAAATCTAGACGGGGACGGCTATAAGACGGCCAGGAAACGGTCTCTTTCAATGAATGGGATGGGGACGGTCGACCTATTAGCTCAGCTGTTCTTGAATGGAGCTTAGTACTGAATTTAAGCGGTCCAGTAACCGTCTCTTGTAGAAGAGGGTCAGAGGACCTTTGAAGTGACCTCCTACCTGCCTTTAAGATACATGTGCTTTACTATCCACTTCTATTTATTAATTATTTTCTTTTGTACTAGTATTAAATTCGATGATTTCCTTTCGATCTATAAGACGGTTTTGCATCCAATTTCCATGAGGACCCATCTAAGGCTATTGATGTCGATGCATACGATTCCGGGTTGACGCGGGAGCCTACCTTCGCTCTGAAGATCGTACCACGTGGAGAGGAGCGTGTAGCCAACCACCTTAAGCTTAATTTTTTTTTTTTAAAAAAAAACGAGAAAAATACATATTAATCAAGAATTAATTTTTTTTTACAAATAATTAGGAAAATAATTGTGAATAATGTCGATGATGATATGAAAAGCATGAAAAAGATCTAAACGCGTATTAGAGCGGACGCGATTGATTGGTTTCGCGTTTCTTTCTTCTTGGCGGAGGAAGATTGCCATCCTAAGCTTATACAGTAGTAGTAAAATAAAACATATAAAGTCTCGCGTAGATTTATAAGGGCTGTAAACGAGTATCAAGGTGCTTTTTCTTTCTTAAAATGGTGGTGGTGGCTAATGAATAGGACGTAAAGACAAAACAACTGCTATTTGAGATTTGACATCGGGACTTTCGTAATTCAAGGTGACTTGCGCTAGAGAAAAGGTGCTACCTTTAAGGTATTTGAAACTTGGGTCTGGTATGTCATTATAATAAAGACCTAATCTAGCTATATCTTGGCAGGAACGGATTCTTGATTGATAATTCTTAATAATTACTAAAGTTGAAATCTACGTAAGACAATCGAATTTGAGATCGGGATTTTCGCTTACTGGGAAAGGCTGACTAATCATATCGAGACATACCCAAGACTGCTGCAGCCAATAGAAAATTAGCTCGTAACCTTATTTGGCTGATTAATCTTCTTGGAGGAGGGCCTGACGTTGAGGTAATCTTGCATTTGGTTCAGCTACCTAGGTACCCTACACGTCGATGTTCGGCGCCCGATGTACCTCGTTAATCGTACCCCAGGTCGGAGTACTAGTCAGAGGCAGGAATGCGAAAAGAGCTGTGACGCTTCTCTAGCAAGCTGTACCGGTTTCTACGGTACGCCGGGTGTGGTATCTCTTGAAGATGAGTGCTCCCCGGGTTTGACATTCACAACATCACTTGGATCTTTTTCAGTCGCAGGTGATAATCTACCCTCTAGGGTCCTTCGGGATGAAGACTCGATTGGAAAGGATTGTGAACCCGACTCGAAAGGAAGAGATCAGAATTTGAACATCGACACCCAGCGACCAACCAAGAGACAGCGAAAAGGGCCATCAGTTCCTCTTAACCTGTTGACTGTACTCAAGAACATTCCAACTGCTAAATCGTGGATGAACTGGCGCCTTGCGACAAAAGAAAGCCTCGGCAATACTGTCCTCCATATATTTGAAATAACGCCAGGCGTAGAGAAATTTGGAATAGACCGAAACACGAATCCATTGGAAGCAGCGAAGTCGTCTCGAAGTTCTCCAGGAAGTCGGCTACTTCTACGCTCGACAAGCGGATCCAGGGACTTCGAGAGCTCCTCCCCGCGAAAATCTGCTTGAGACTTAACATAATTCTAAGGGTTCCGCGTCGGGCGATTGAAAGGTAGGAAATATCTGGAACAGAGTGTTCTCGCAACCTGGGAAGAACAGAAACTACCGGGCACGAATCCGCCAGCCGCCAACGGCGCAGAAATAAGATGCGCAGAGGACGTACTACGTATGATGCTGTTGTGCTGATGCTGAGGGTGTGACACGCACTGCCACGAGCACTGGAGATCTGACGAATAAGTTGACTGCACGGATCGAAAGAATGCCTACGCTTTGGACAACGGCTGAAATTGAGTTGGCTGCAATGACACGTCGACAAATACTACGTAGTACGTACTACCTAGGTACTGCAGCGTGGCCTCAGCTTTTACTCCAAGGCAGGAAAAGTCAAATCAACAAGCCATCGTTCAAACAGGTCAGTCACGATATACAAAGTATCATCTAATCGAGAGTAAGAACCGCGTTGAGGAAAAGCTCTGTTTTGAATACTAAACACTTTATAGCCCCTTTAAAAGCAATTCATAATAATCTGCGCCGGGTTTTCTTTGATCAATTATCGAATACGTGTGGTCCTATAAGCGGCGTCGATTCGTGTAAGTAATAAACATCGTTCTTTTTTATCATAAATCATAAAACTAGACAGGCTCGTGTTCGTAGCCTTTATATAACGCCGGTGTATTTGCAAAACGTTCTTTTCGAAAGCGCAATGCCGTGTTTTCGACTAATCGAAGTAAGCCCTTCTTATTTAATCTCATGTACTCGTTCTCTCTCTATCGCAAATCCTCTTAGTCTTTTCCATCGGTATGCTCGTTAGGTATAGATCGTAGTCGGCGTGAAATTCGAAAAGAGAAGAGAGAGGTTCAGAACCGCTGGTCAAAGTAGGTCTCTTCGAGGAGACGTCGCAGGTCGATGATTCAATCTCGGCTCTCGAGACTTTCTGCCGCAAGAGAGAGCTGAACGTTCGTAAAAGGCACCTCGTTTAGGTGAAGTATCGTAGCCCCCCGAAGCGAATCAATGAGTGGAGTCGGAATCCTCTGTCCTCAATTCTCCTCTTCTCGACCCCACTGCCGCTCATAAATTTTGGAACATATGGAGCGTCCAACGAGAATCAGCTGTACGGTACAAAAGAAGGGAAGAAGAAAAAACGACCCAAGGCTGAAGGCTGGAAGAAGGCTGTAAGAGAGCAAAGGCCAGATAGAGAGCAAAGGCCACATAGAGGGCAGACCAGGGCAGACCAGGGCAGACCAGGGCAGACCGGGGCAGGCCAGGGCAGTCTAAAAGGCGGAAGGCTGGAAAGCAGGGAAGGAGCAAATTCGAGATCATCAAACACAACCTCCCTACCTACCTCTCTGCCTCTCCCTACCTCCAACTTCCCAAGGGATTGGATCGGATCGGATTGGATCGGATTGAATCCGTAACCCTTGGTCTACCATCCCCGCTATACCTACCAACCCAAACTCAACTCAACCTCTCGAGCGACTACCGCTGCCTACCTACCTACCTACCTACCTTTCTGTACTTTGCGACAGCTCTCTCGGACGGCTCGAGCGACGCTCACCTAATAAGTGCACCTAATAAAGCCAACCATCCGTGCCATCGCCGGACAACCTGACGCCATGGGCTCAACTCAGTTCGGAAACTTCCGTGTACGTTGACTGGATTGTGACGCGACTGGACTCGGGCCTCCTTCACAAAGGCAGCTTGTGAGTAAAGTGCTAACAATTGCTTGCAGGACTTCTGTCGCGATTCGACCCTCCCGATTTGCAATGTACGAAGCTCCCTCTCGAACCTTGAGAATCAGCACTGATTGCGCTACATAGATATTTCCAGGGTTCAGCTATTCAGATACCTCGAATTTTGGATCGTGCTACCTTACAGGCATTTCGCTCAGCAATGGAAGGCATCTTGGAAACCTAGGTTCGTCGACTGAGGAAGGACGGAGAGTATTGGACTAATAACATGCCCAGGATCCATACTGCTTTGCGGAATCGCAATCGTCGTATCTGCATATCTGCTATGGCGATCAGAACGGAAACAAGCTGCGGTGGGACGAAGGTACGATCGATGTCTTGTGTGTGTGTGGCTCTTCTGCAATCGCTAACATGATCCTCAAGAGAGATGCAGCTTTTTCTCCTAGGCTACCTATTCATCGAGATCTGCGAGATATTCACCGTCGGAAAGTTCCCTTTGAACACGGACGCTAGAATCGCCTTCACTGGTATACATCTTGGCTTGATCGTCGCCACGCTCTGGATCCTCATGCTCAACGCTGCCGTTGGCTTCCAACTACTCGACGATGGTACACCCCTCTCTGTCGGATTGATGACGGCATCGGCTCTCGCGCTATTCATCGGGACGGGCTACATCACTCTCGATACGGGATATCAATGGACCGGGTACTGGGAGTCAAGTTTAAGTGGGAACAACAGGAATATTGCGCTCTATGTCCTCTATCAACTGGCACCCCTGGTCTTCCTGTCCCTCTTCTTCCTTCTGGAGACGCTTCTGGTCATCCGAGTCCTGGGCGAGCGCAAGCCCATGATCTACTTGGGAGCAGCCGCTGCTCTCTTTGCCCTTGGACAAATCTTCAACTACCTTGTTAGCATTCACATTTGCAACGGGACCGATGGCAAAATCGACGGATCAATGTTTCAGACTCTGTTCACCCTCTTGTCGGTCGTTGCAGTGTGGGTCTTCTGGTCGAGCATCACAGAAGACGACTGGCCAATGCCTGCGGATAACACATATCCGTGACGAGGGAGAAAGAAATAGGGCATGGAATCGGAGTTCAGGGCATTTTTTCACAAACGACACGTCTATCGAAAAGATATTGTTTTCAATCACCACATCATGCATTTTTGCCAAGACTTTACGAAGAAGCACGAAGGGAGAATATCGGACGTCGGGGGTAATCCCTACATGAGGGCTAGCTAATCAGGGCGAGGAACGAATGGGTGCGCGGAAAGTATGCTTCTTGGGCTTCTCCATCTTGGATGCTAGACATTGAGGAGGGTCGCTTGCTTCCAGAGGATTGCTTTGTATATGATTTCGCATGTTTTAAAGTATACCCAGGATGAGCGCTTAATGGCAAGCCCAGGATGAGCGTTTAATGGCAAACAGAGAACAGAGAACAAAATTTATCGTGGATATGCAGTTCCCATGTGCGCTGCTCCGAGAAGAGCCTCCGTTCTTCACTTGTGCATCCTGCATCTTCTCAAATGCGTGGAGGGTCGCAACAGTAAAAGAGCAGCAAAAGTGATTTGCGTTGTATATTGGACTAGAATTCCGAGCATTCGTTTAACCCCATGAAGCCCAGTAACCGCAGCCTACGGAAGTGAGAAAGAGAGCTGGACTTGGCCATCTGATTCCATAGCAAGACTCGACTCGGACTCGGTCGTAGCTGCTGGCGAGGCCGGACACTTTCTGCTCGAGGTCGAGGAAGTAACCACTGCAGCAACTCAAACCCTTATAAAGGGGACATACGGCCTTCCAAAAATTGGCCCAGCATGATCGTCCATCACGCACACAATGTCTGGTCCGGCGAGGGCTGGGGATATCCCTATGGAGGGATTTGTGGATCGGCTACTAAGAGGAGGCTCTAACAAGCGCTTCCTAGCGGAGTCTCGGCAAACAGTCCGGAAAATTAAACTCCTCACAGCTCCACACACTCCCGCCCACCAAGGACTGCCCCGACCAAGAATGTCATCCGACGATGAATACGTGCAAGGGAATTTGGACGGTGACGATAGTGCGCCACAGACGTCTGCTTATGGCACGCGCTCGACGGGTCTGGTGAAGGGAGCTGCTGCGGCGGCGAAGGGCGGCGATGCGAGTGCCGGGGGGACTCGAGCGAAGGGGAGGGCCAAGTGGGAGGATATCCAGAGAAGTTGGGATACGGTCGTCGAGGGCGCGGATGGGAGTCTCAATTCTACGGTCGAGGGGCTGAGAGATGCTGGGAAGAGGAAGAGGTAAGCTCTGCGCCCAGCTAGCGTCGGGGTTTCTTTTTGATCCGTACTAATACGTCTCAGATTGTTGCGCGATACGACGCCGGTGCAACGAGGTATCATTCGGCACTTCATCCTTATCATGGATCTCTCGTTTGCTATGGTGGAGAAGGACCTGCGACCGACGAGGTATCTCCTTACGCTGCGCTTTGCCTCCGAGTTCGTCACCGAGTTCTTCGAGCAGAACCCCATTTCCCAGCTGGGAGTACTCGGCATGCGAGATGGAATTGCGATTCGCGTCAGTGAGATGGGTGGGAACCCGACTGAGCATATTGAGAATATCAAGAAGCTGCGGGACTTGCAAGGTCAGGGCAATCCGAGTCTGCAGAATGCGCTTGAAATGGCGAGAGCCATCCTGCACTACGCTCCTGCCCACGGTACCCGCGAAGTCCTGATCATTTCCGGAGCTTTGCTTACTAGCGACCCTGGAGATATCCATGAGACTGTCAGATCTCTTGTTACGGACCGGATACGGGTTTCTGTTGTTGGGCTGGCGGCACAAGTCAAGATCTTGTCGGTAATATGCTCCAAGACCAATGCGGGCAACGAAGGCAACTACCATGTTGCGCTCAACGAGCAGCATTTCCGCGAGCTGGTCATGGCTTTAACGACGCCCCCAGTCACGAGGACTAAGACGCAGTCGCAGCCGACTCTGCTGATGATGGGTTTCCCATCTAGAATCTCAGGCGTGGGAAAGGCTATGAGTTATTGCGCCTGCCACAGCAAGCTAGTCCGAGGCGGATACCTCTGCTCGAGATGCGACAGTAAAGTCTGCAGCTTGCCGGCTGACTGTCCTGTTTGTGGGTTGACTCTCGTTCTGTCAACGCACCTGGCTCGCTCGTACCACCACCTCTTCCCTCTGAAAAATTGGGTTGAGGTACCTTGGTCGCAAGCTGGGAAGTCCAAGGCTTGCTTTGCGTGTTTGACTGCGTTCCCCGAGGTCCCCTCACATTTGGAGAAGAATGGTGCGGAGCGTGAGGGGACGAGCGAGAGTGGGAGATACACCTGTGAGGATTGCGGATATCACTTTTGTATTGACTGCGATGTGCATGCTCATGAAGGTAAGGATGCGTTTCGATTCTCTTTCACTCGTCTCAATTCTAAATCTCTTGGGACATGTGTGCCAACCTTGTATTATTGCTAGTCCTACTCTGTTATCTCATTTGGAGTTAAAACGCTAACTACCATCTCCAGTCGTCCATAACTGTCCTGGTACGCTCCCCCCCCTTCCCCGAGTTTTCTCAGCAACCAGACTCAAGTACTAACCCACGCCACCAGGATGCCAAAGCGACTCACAGCAACAGCAGATTGGCATCGCCCACGAGGTTAAGAACGACGGCGACCCCATGGAGGAATAGTGTACCGGACGATAGCAGCATTGGTCGGCCATCATAGCGTTTTTCTCGGTTCCGGTCTGTGCTCATGACGTTACGAGGTATGGAAATGGGCAGGCATAATTACGAATGAATAGCGGCGTTGCAAGTCACTAGATTCTCGGACAAACAGAGGATGGATAGATGGATAATGGATAGATGGATAATGGAAAACGGGGCATAGATGGATACGGAAAATGGAGTACAGATGGATTCTTGCATCAGCATCGGTATTACAGGGTATCTGCAGGGAGTCTTGGGGGTAGGGCGATGAGGGGGCGGAGGGGGCGCAGTGGGGGTTTCTACTTGTTTTGTTTACTGTTAATAGGCTAATAGGCTCCGTTAATTAAAACGAACGGTATCAAAGTCGGACTTGAGTGATTCAAAGTTAGGCAGGCACAGTAGGTATTGATGGAGATTGGGATCCTCTTTCCTCTTGTCTCTGTCTTTGTCTCTCTGTCTGTCTCCCTTCTCTGTCTCCCTCTCCTTTCTCTCTTCTCTTTCTCTTTCTCTCTTCTCCCTCTCTCTCTTCTCCCTCTCTCTCCAAACATGATAAATCCAGCCAGCCAAGCTCACTATAGAGTTCCCTCCTCGCTTCCTCTCTTCCTTCCTTCCTTCCTCCCTTCCCCTTTCCATCCCCTTTCCATCCCCTTCCCTTCCTCAACTCTCAAGATCTTGATCTCCCTACAGGTTTGGAACAGTACCTACGCACCTACCTACCTACCTACCTACCTACCTGCATTTCCTTCTCCTTCTCTAGGTACCTGCATGTTACTATCTGTCTATTTTCATCTGCTACTTATGTACTTGACCTCTGCCCTGCCCTGCCCCCTGCTCTACCCTGCCCTACCCCTCCTCTTCTATGTATTAGATAGATAGAAAACCAGATACTCAGATACAGAATCTACAATGCACGAGTGACTGAACAAGCCCAAGACGGAGAAGAAAGCGAGTTGAGTTGAGTTTGAGTTGAGTTGAGTTTGCTGGATTTAATATATATATATATATATGCTCTGGTCTGTTTATTTTTTTGGAAGGAGGTAGGTAGGTAGGCAGACAGACAGACAGACAAGTGTTGTATAGGAAAAGGAAAAAAAAAAAAAGAGGGGAGGTTGACGTGTTGGGGGGATTTGGTAATGGCAATATCGTATTATGGTTGTCGGATTATGGTAAGTTTTTTTTTTCTCTTATGTTGATGAGGGTGATTTGATGTGATGGTGGGTGGGTTGGAGTCTGTATGTATCGATCCTCGGCACCGATTACTTGCCGAGACAGAGAAAGATGGGTGTGGGAGGAAGAAGACATATCGTGTCATATTATATCGTATCGTACCTTCTGCTTCTTTCTATACTCGGTTCAGTCTTCAGGGCTCTCGAATACCTCCGTGGAGACCCAGTGCCTTTCCCTTTGAAGCTTAACGCGGAATCGATAACCCAGTCTCTCTGTGAATGTGCTCGAGCGTGCCCTCGCCCCATGCGTAGCGCTGGACAGAGGCGCCCTGGCCGACATACAGACTCTTTACTCCGCTGTCCGAGTCCTTGGCCCACCGCAGGCACTTCACCGGAATCTGCTCCCCGTAGCCTCCGAACTTCTCGGATACGAATGGTGAATTGAGGGTGTGGCCTCCGCGCAAGGAGAATAGTTGCACGTACGGGTGAAACTCGTCGGGCTCTTGGGCCTTGACGAATACGCAAGGAGTTAGCCATGGTATCTTAACGATTTGAAGGGTAGTGAGAAAAGTGCCTGGGTATCCAAGGATATCGGATGGAAAAAAGATGGCCCTACTCACGGCTGCTACTATACCAGATTCCAGGTCCACGTCGAATCCTATTTGCCAGTTTGCCGAGTTTTGGTAGGCGGGGTACTGGAGAATCGATCTGGTCGGTTCGGGGTCTTGAGTAGTACGTACGGGCAGGTCAGTACAGTGTATGTTGGAGAGGGGACCTCGAGCCCTATTCTCCGAAATCGTGGGACGGTGAGGAACAGATTTGAATGGGCTCAGCGTTACTGACTTTGTCTTGATTTTGATTTTTTGTGAGTCAGGGAGATGGGGAATTCATCTTTGCGATAGCGGAGGTCGTACTGGCACAGGGAGGACTGTGGGTTTGTTAGCAGTGGACTATTATAGACCTCACTATATCTTCAATATTCAATGTGCCTTTGAGTTTCTGGACGAACACTGTTTCGCTCTTTTTTGGTAGCAAGAAAGGCCCATAGCATGGATCCAGCCGTCTCTTGGAAATTAAGTTATGAACTTTTGCAAAGTACCCAGTGTTCCGCGCTCACGTTACATATAGAAATCACCAAAAGCCAAAAGGAATGTATACTTACGTTGAGGCCGGCAACGATGATCTGATGGGCGTTAAGAGGCTGAATGTGCGTTATTGTGCTTGGATGGGTGATTTTTTCGGCGCCGAATATGGTGATGGGAGCGCGGAGGTCGCTCAGAGCAAGGATACCTTTGCGGCCACCGGAAAGGAGTATGGTTGGGTTATCCGTAAGGAAGGAAAGGGCGAATACATCGTCTACCACGCGAAGATCGTCTTTGGGAGAGGGTGTCAGCCAGGTCAGGACGAGATTGTTATTTAAAGATAGAATGCCACTGCAGGACACAGGGAAGTTAGCGATTGCTTGATTAAGAAAAGTTTCTGGGCCCAAAGAGAAGCGTCTTCTCCCTACATACTGACTGGAGCCGAAGACGAATCTTGAGGAAGACAACAATGGGGCTGAGGTCGAGCAGAACATAGAGACATCGCTTCCTCGTGAGAAACCGGGACCCATCACCATAGCTGGATGTTCTCGATCGAGATCTGGAATTAGTCCGGACTATCGTCAGCTATACTCGGCTATACCCAGATTAGCCGTAATATTGTGCCACTCACTACTGCTACGCCCCAATGCTGTAATGCCAGTAAATATGCCTGAATTGGCCGCACCAGACAGCCAGGTGAAAGCAAACGACTGCTTGTCTTCGCTTTCGCAAACCGATGTGGGAACTCCAAACGTGTGAAATTGGGTAACCTTGTCAAGGTTTGTCGCCCATAGCTCGAAATTGCCTTCGGAGCTATCTGCACCCAGGTCGAACCGTAAAGATTCAGTGTCAAACACTACCCGGACCGTCAGTAAAACTGACATGAGGCTAAAGGATGGTCACCCGAAGGTAATGGACACATCTACCTCTTCGGATATTCACCGTCGAAGAGCCGGGTTCCAGCTGGCAGCTGACATTAAAGATACTTGAGGGATTGGAGACCATATAGCCACTTTGTACCAAATAGCCACTTCGTACGAGGCCGCTAGCATAGATCCGGGCAGGTTCAAAACAGGCACCACTTGACAGAGTCAGCAACCGCGTGATTCGAGATGGGATTGGATTCATTAAATAGTATCGAAAAGAGCAGGTATGTTTGTTCCCAGGTGATTTGAGGCAATCCGATCAAGAGAATTTACTTACTACCCATGCTCACGATTCAGAATGCCTCCAGCGAGTGGATCTTCTTGAATTCGGCGGCGGATACGGCCTGCTTGGCGCTTTCGCTCGTCCGCAACGGCGACCTCTCGACTATCACGTAGCTTTCGCCTCTTGACATCTTGTGCAGAGTAGGCAGAGCCGGCGGGTCCCTGAGATTGTATTGCGAAGTATTTGCCCTTCTCTTTGTCTGGGAAGATATTAGCGGTTTTCAGAACAGAATCCGAACTTCATGCAACATGCAATGACCAGGGAGGGAACACATAATTCAACGTCCGTGATGAGGGAATGAATGCACTTGTACGTACCCCAATAGAAACCTGGAATATCCTTAAGTGGTTGTGCCATTAGGGATGTTGTCGTTGATGAGTATTCGTGGTTGACGTTGTTGTTTCCTTCACGGGGTTTTTTGTTAAGTGCACACCACACTCGTTACTTCTCGTCCGTATAGTGCTCCTTGTGGGCCCATTGCAAACTCTCTCGACCCGGATTTACTCCCACTGCATCCTTCTTTCTCCTTTGCACACAGTCCTGTGCTCCGTGTCGTATCCTCGTTGTCAATCAAATTCCAAAGAAGCCGCAACCATGGTCTACACGCTCACCGTTCACCTGTACGCAAACGATAAGCCGGAATCAATTGAGAGAATCAAGGCCAAGCTCATTGAGGCAGCACGAATCTACAGAAAGGACAAGGAGACGGTCGATTGGATTGTGATGCAGGATGTCCACGATCCTCGAGCCTTCACCATTGTAGAGCGGTTCGAGAACGAGAGCGTACGTTGGTTTGGTACTGTGTTTTGCACAGTAGAGCTAACCTGTGATCGTTCGCTGCAGAGCCAAAAATATCACCTTGAGAACCCGTACTGGTTGACCTTTGATCCTTATGTCGTACCTCTATTGGACAGGAAGATGGACCTCCGTAGACATGAGGAGTTGGATACCAGTAAGGATGTGGAAGTGCCTCTATAGACTCGTGCCATATGGTGGACCGCTAGGATGGGATAGGATGGGATAGGATAGTGTCACTGGCATTGGCATGGACTGAAATTGGCTCTAGGTAACTAGATTGCTGGATCAGACAAGCTTCAACTATAGTGTACCTACTTGGAAGAGGGAGGGAGGGAAATATACCATCACCAATAATATCAGTGTCTTTTAAGTATTGAACCTAGGTATATTTCAAGAATTCCAGAACGCAAGCAACCCAATTAACATTCTTGGACTCATAACGCTCGCGGAGAGCTGTGCATAGTCACGTCTTCGCGAATTACCTCATTTCATTCAGCCTTGCCACAATGGCCATGTTGAGGGTATCAACATCAACACTTACATTCACTGAAAGACTCAAGATCTCCTTGCGCTCTTTCTTTTGCATATCCACCTGTATCTGCCGCTCCTCTTTCTCTTGCACTGAGACCATGTTCGTTTCAACAATTTGATTGTCTCCCGCCCACTCGTTTTGTTTCGTTTTTCGTCAGCCTTGTGCCTCGCGCTCGCTCGCGTCCCAACCAAAGGTGATCCATCATTCAACCACAACCAGAAATACAACCATACCCACAGCCACAACCCACAACAATCTTACCTGTCCCCCGCGGTGCGGTATCAGTGTCTTCGCTGGCTCTGGCCTCTTGGTCATGTATTAAAGAGCCACAACTCCCATGGCCCCCTTCAATCGTCCCGCTATGGCTCCACCACTTAGGTAAGTGCTTATCCTCCTCAGATGGAACGCGACGCGACTCGACTTTGGCAAAAATTCTGACTGAAAACAAATTCCCAGGTCCACGAATGAGAACGACCCCATCGACCTGACAAGTGACGGCGAAGACACTTCTTACCTGCCACTCGCTCGCAATCCTATCAACTTTCTGCCGTCCTCCCCCTCCAGCGCGCCGATTCCAACCTCTTTCGATGGGCTCCCCAACCCAGATGTATTTGTTAGGAAATCGAGACCACAGGACATGAATGGGCATTCCGGTACGCAGCGTCCGCCGCCACAGAACAGATCTTCCTCGCGCAGAAATTACCAGATTGTGCCGTCGCGCGGAAATGAGAAAGAGCGTGGTTCGCAATCTCACAACGCAGTCTCTGCATACCCTCCCAACATCGAGAACGACAGACCGCCCATATCCGGGGGTAGCGCTCCAGTTATGAATCAGTCGGTGAAGAGGAAGAGACCTGATACCTCGCCAACTGCGGCATTCCCCGCTCTTACGAGCCTACATGCAGCCAGTCTCCCGCCTACGAGCAAGAAACTGGCGAACAGCTCGCGCAATCCCATTCCCGCTAGCTCAAATCTTACGCTGATCACAGGAGAGACCAGATCAGTCGCAAGTGGTGCTTATACGACATCTTCGCCAAATCAGCTGGCAAAGGTCGATTCTCAAGCATACGCACCTCGAATGGAGCATGTATTGCAGACACAGGTTCTTGCTCATGTTCATAGTGCGGTCAAGCCTTTCGATCGTACTCTCTCTCATACCCAGCGTACAGAGATTGGGCAGACGGTAAGAGAATTTTATCACGGTCTTTTTTGGTAAATCTAAGGAATATGAAATATCATCCTGGTTGGATAGCGTTGAGGGTTCCAGAGAGGAAAACGTGACTGACAATAGCCCTCAGGTGGCATCGAAACTGGTCTCACAGCCTAGCTTCATGCAAAATTACGTTGAAAACGGCAAGAAAATCTCCCCGGATTACGAGCGACGTATCGCGCAGGACGCTCGGAACTTTGTCAGCGAAGAGGTCAAAAAGATCCTAGATCGCTTTGAGGCGGAATCTTCAGGAACATCGAAAGAGAACTCGCCCGCACCAACAGCTTTCGCAAAGGCCCCCTCCTTCGCTAATGGAACCAGAGACGGCATGGAACACGGTTCAGAAAATCATCGGTCTCCCTCGGAGGAAAATAGTATTCAGCAGCCTTCTCTAAAACTTAGACCCCGTCGGTCCACTTCTCGAAGCACTGGCAATGGCAATGCTTTGGCTACGTCAGAAGCTGTCAAGGGCCGTGGAGCTGTGAGCGATTCCATGGATTTGACCTACTCTTCGGCTCGACCATCTGATACCAATTCTCTACCTCCAGGCCAGTACTCGAAGAGAAGGCGTCGCCGAAGAACACAGGTACAAATTGCTCTCGACAATTCACTCAGGGATAGCGATAAGGGCAAGAACCTGTCCGCAGATTCTTCAGGACAGTCGACCCCCCAGAGGCAAGAAAAGAGGAGGCGTCGCACCAAGCTCCAGATGGAAGAAGCTCGCGCTAGCGAGGCGGCGGCTAGAGGTTTTCCTACGTCCAGTTTCCAGCAAGCAACGCCAAACGTTGAACACTTTGGAACAACAAGCCAAGTTTTGGCGAAAGGAAATTTCGCCCGCGCAGCTGGTACACAGCCCACACTAGCTGCTCCGGTTTATCGCTGTCCCGCAAATAGCTACTCGCCAGACGATTACGATCTTCGCCCCTATATTCCGTACCGTCGCCGCCAAAGGCTCAGAAAGCAGCTGATGAGACCCAGTGTGTTGAAGCAGCTTTCAAATGTTGAGCTGGAATTCATCCAGGGCCCTAACTTTCACTGTGACTTCTCCGACGGGGAGCTACGCTTGTTGTGCGATGCAATCATCAAGATACTTCATATCCCTTGGTATGACGTAAGCAAGGGCATCTCGGGATTGATGAAGGCCTATCACTCCAATACATCAAAGATCTTGAGAGAATTCGAGAAGTCTGGACGCAAAACCTTTGGTCATGGTCGCTATGAGATCCTCCGCACCCGCAACCCACAGGCCATTTTTGATTTTTTGGAAGACACGAGGAATCGGAACGTTGGTAAGGAGGTCGATTTTTACATCGCTTCTGGAAATATCTGTAATGGTCCGACTAGCATCACGGCGTTGCTCCGAGAACGTGAATCGCATGGTATAACACCTGTCAGATCTCGTCGCGGACAGAACTCCTCCAAAGTCATGTTCCAAAACCATTTCGAAGATAGCCTTATTCGCCTGAGCGAATGGACTGACTGCTCCGGGGATATTTCCTCGATCGCTTGGACTAGCGAGAACGCCTTTATTGGCGGTGCTCTGGCGCATTCGGACTCTCATAATATGCAGTACAACAAGCCAGGTAATCTACTTGTCGGCTCGTTGTTACTGGATACGATTCGTTCGTACCCGAATCACAAAACCGCTCGGCCCTTGGTAGCGCAGCAAGAGAATGCAGAAAACGCGCTGGCATCAATGAGGACCACCCAATCACCTTGGCTATACGATTCCGTTGTGTCGACCGCACACTGTGAGTATAACGGCTATAGTTTCACTGCTAGTTTTGACGGAACGGTCAAAGTTTGGTCGGTTGCCCCAGATGGCTCCTCTATGACCCTTCGAGGAACATGGAAGCACGAAGGCAAGGTGAACTTTGTAGTTACTTCACCTCACCATGACCGTATTGCAACAGCGTTTGAGACTAATTGCAATGCGGTAAGAATATACAATTTCGACCCGCAAGATATCTCCAACTCCTCATACGACGATTACTGTGGTAATAAAACAGCAGTACCAGCGGACGAGTTGGGCCGGCGAGAGAAGTGGGCCTACCATCCTGCCACTATGCAGTGGGGAAAGTCGCCTGGAGTCGTTCATATGCTGCTTGTCGGTTACTCGCCTCGTAGTGACTTTGGAGACGAACATGATATTCCGGAAGAAAAGCGCAACACAGGAGAGTTGTGCATGTGGAACTCTCTTACATCCGAAAAGGTTTTAATCACCTCTGCCAAAACCCAAAATGTGTTCGAGGTCATTTGGCACCCAACACAGCCCATTTTTGTTGCAGCTACCTCCCCGTGTGGAACTTACGACACGGAAAAAACCAGAACGCAGATCAGACTCTTTGGGCAGAGCGTGACCGGCCAATTCTCAAACATGAAGACGTTGGATTGCCCTGCTCTGGATATTAACGAACTCACTATCATGTACGCAACCTTCCATAGGCCATTCCTACCACTACTAAAATCTTCACAGGCCCAACAGCAATATCGATAGCTTTGTGAGTGCGAGCTGCACGGACGGACTTACCTATGTATGGGATACAATTCGGGGAGATCAGCCAATCCACGTCCTCCAGCATGGTGGTAGGTTATCTCTCTATTGTGATTCTAGCAGCTTGTTACTAACTTTGCCAGAATCTCTTGACAACCCCGATCCTGATCAACCTCGCGAAATCGGTGACTCTGGCGTAAAATTTGCCGCTTGGGGCCGATCGCCTGATCGCTTCTACACTGGTGGCTCTGACGGCATGGTGAAGGCCTGGAATATCAGAGCTCCTCCAGGTCACGCCTTCGTTCGCAATGTCCTTTCCGTTTCGGGAGGAATATCAACGGGTGTCTTCAACCGCGACTGTTCTAGATTACTCATAGGGGATGCAACTGGAAAGGTTTATTTCCTCGGCATCGATGACGGCGACATCGCGGAAGATTTCAAGCCTACGCAACTCGCCTGTCCGAAGCAGCCCGTCGCATTCGGTAGCCAGCTGCCAGCCGGTATCAAGCGGCCGAAGGTTATCATTCCCCACGCAGAGCCCCCGCCACCGTTGAGCTCCGACCCCATGGATCCTGATCTGTTGGAAGAAGTCAACGAGCCAACTGGCGCTGAGTTGTCGCGAGAATACCTCGACCGTGGTATTTTGGAAAAATACCCCAATGCAGCTTTTCCAAATAGCCAGCACGCGGTTTTCCAAGGACCAGCATACCTTGACAGTGGATTATTCAATTTTGAGTCACACGTCGGTGGGGATGCTACTCAAGAGCTCGTACCCATGGTCATGGAAAAGCAGCAATTCTTTGTTAATGAACAGGAGCCGCCGAGAGCCTTGCCTTGCCTTCGAATTCCACAAACTCCTTCGGACCACTATCAGCACCAAGCGAACGTGGCCCTGGACTTTGACTTTGCGGCTCTATCGCTGGAAGACCAGAAATCCCTTCTCCGCGACGAGGTCGAGCTCTACTGGGATGACTACGATTTCGAATTCGAGCGACTTCCCAGCAAAACTCATTGGCTGAGGAGGGAGAAGGCTGGCAAGAATAAGGCTAGCAAGAACAAGGCGGCGCGCGCGTATGACTGGGATGCTCAACATGTACAATCCCCGACGTCGTGAGTCACCTAGTCTCTTCTCTGATGGTGGGATGCCATCGATTGTTGGAAGCGAGCCGCCGACGAGTTCGGTGCAGCACGGTGGACTCCTCGCAGAGCCGCCTATTGCTTATGATCATCAACTAAGCTCGCTCCCAAACGATATTTTCTCAGGAAAGGCAACACTCGAGTAACTGACCGAAACAAATTACTCTCTCACTTCACCTAGTCACTCCAGATCAAGAATTCTCTGAACTCGTAACAAAAACATAACGCCGCGGTTGATGATACGGGATCTTCATACATTTCCGAGTCTCACAAAAAACCTCCGCAGTATCATCGTGGGGTGAGAAGGGGTACCGGGGTGGAGGCTTGGGATTTCATAATGAATGAGTGGATGAAGTAAATGGCACGAAATTGGGGTGTTGAGAGTTATACGTAATGGAATGAGCCGCACAACCTTTGTACGAGATATTGCCAAGATAATTTGTCTTTCACACAACACATTGCAACTTGAGGTACGTTACTAACACAAGCCAGGATAAGATGATATGTAGAGAGAGAAAAACGTATTGGATTGCAGACCTGGTGCTCACGCTTTTCCCCCCTCATGTTTGAAATCAGGGAGCATTAACTGTGGTTCACTCGAACGATCAAGAGATATTTGGAATTTCTCTGTACTGCACTGAGCGGTGCAACTCCAAAATGAGACTACGGTTTTCTTTCAGGTACTACAATTTTTAGCATAGTCATTTGCTGCTGCTCTTGATATTCCTGTGTTCCATCGTAGTTGAAGTTCGTTACTTAGAGGTGAAGAAGAAAGTCGAGTTAGCACCTTTCCCAGGACCAACAAACATAACATCTATCCATCGTCTTCTTAAAGCTACCTCCTTCGCATCCAGGCTATTTTTCCTTCAAAGGGAACAGATCTTGAAAAGCAGTCTCTACATTTATCCTCTCACTCAACCTCTCCTCACATGCCAAATACGCCTCAGGAAACCACCCCTTGTTGTCCCCTCCTCTCCCCAACACCATATTAGCCACCGCGATACCACTCATCCAGCAGTTCACCATTCCATACCCGTTGAATCCCGCGGCAATCCATTCTCCGCCGCCCTTCCTCCCCGTCAACCCCTCCTCCAGATTCCCCACTAGCGGCAGCCCATCGCCCGTAAAGCCCATGATGCCACTCCAGCTGGACCTTAATCTCTCCTCTTTCCCCTCGGGCGGGAACACAGCCTCCCCAAACCAGGCTCCGGGTAGATCCTGCAGATTCTGCACAGCGAAGCCGTCGCCGGCGGTGGTGTCGTCGCTGGTCAGGATCTCGCCGAGTGGTTTCTCCTCGCCGCCAAGGAAGATATCCCCCGTCTTTGCGTTCTGCGTCATGTAGTAGAGGCCCAGGGAACAGCGTCCTGTTGTGGAATCGTAGGTTGGCCGGGCGTGAGTCGACCAGGAGCGGGTGCTGCCTATGTTTGGGAAGGTGGGGGGAGAACGCTGGACGGTCATGGTGCCGCGGAGAGGGTAGATCTTACCGCGGAGCAAGGGGAGGAGGTGCCCTGCGTGCCCGTTGGTGGCGTGGAGGACATGCCTGGCCTGGATGTTACCGCGCGGGGTCGTAACGTTGTAGAACCCAGAATCACTATCGAATGAGATCTCGGTGGCTGGCGTGGATGTCTCGATACAGAAGCGGTCCGGATATCTGGATACCAGCTGCGCGTACAGGCTTGTTACCAGTCTATACGGCCATATGGCTCCAGCCGGTACAACAAGACCCCCTAACGTGCCACGGACGCCATACTTCTCTTCAAGCTCGTTAGCATCCACAGATGTGTATTTTCCTCTACACTCAACCGCGTCTCTCTCAAACTCATCCACGCTAGCCCTCGCGTGCTCCAAAGCCTCCTCGTCAAAACAACTCATCACACCCTCCACCAACCTAACCTCACTACCCTCAACCTCCTTCGCCAACGCATATACCTTCTCGATATTCAGCAGCGTGAACCTCGCCACCTTCAGCGCTTGCTCCTTCCCCAACGCAGCCACGAGGTCCAGGTAATCGCACGGGGCGGAAGAGGTCAAGTGACCGCCGTTGCGGCCGGTGGCTCCCGAGCAGAGCGTGCGTGCCTCGAGGATCGTGATGCTCTGATCATCGCTGCTGTTCTCGAGGAGGTGTTTGGCAATGGCGCAGCCTGTTATTCCCGAGCCGAGGATCAGGATTTCGGTTCTTGCGGGCAGAGAGGGGGACTGCGTGGATGAGAGCGGGTGGGCCGGTTCTTGCCAGAATGACTGGGTTGGGTGAGCACGGGGGAGTCCCGGGTCGAGGGTTGTGAGGGATGATGCTGATGCAAGGATTTCTGTATCGGTGTTCAGCAACAATCAGATGGCTGGATCTAGGGTGTAGGTTTCGGACGAACCTCTGGAAGACATTTTGAAGTCTTGATGCTGTCCCGATTTTTATGTTCAGGTGGGTGTAGTCAATTGTATAGATCGGATAGATTGAAATATATATGTATCTACTGAGATATGAGCAGACGGTTACTTTCGACGTCCAAATCAAAAGGATATTTTAATAATAAAGTTCAACGGTCTCTCATCTGTCCATCTTATGAAAGGTGGGGGTACTTCAAAAGCCGATGGGAAAGCATTTGGACCATCAGCTGACTCTTTGAAGACGATATCTTTCAAAGTCAATTTTAAAGAGTGAGCATAGTTTATAATTCGTCAATGACATGTATTTGGAATAATATATATTTTTTAATCAGACAGTTTAAACGATTAAGATCGTAGTTTAATCGTCATCGACCTGCTTCGCTTAGCGTTGAAAGACCTCGCTTAGGTTTCTTGTTTGGGGTTAGAACGATGTTTTAGAAGAGCACCAACCAACCTACCTGCAAACCCTAATACTGTAGGGGAGGAAAGGAGGGCCAGCCCAGGCGATTATACAGAATCTTATTGAGATTCTCTCTAATAGTATAGAAGATTATATCTGTACCTAGCCTTAGAAGGTGAAATTCATAAACTACAACCTGCTCACAGAAAAGATAACATACTACGTCGCAGGCGTAAGTATTACCCCTCGGGGGTAGGGAAAACAGGGGGTTTAAAGTGGAAACTAAACTTTTAAGGCACCCTCGAGGGGTAATACTTAGGCCTGTACCGTGGTAGTCTTGAAGCCAGAGAGGTTGGATTATAGTAAAGTCGATTTCCGCCCGGCATTGAGTCTGTCGCCTAGGAAGCGAACACGCTTATTCGTGACCTCACTTATCCCTCTGGTCTTAACTAATATCACTGGGCTCACTTTATTCTCAGTGCCGGTTTGAGCACAGTCCTTGTTGCCTTCGGTTTTAGCTCTGGCGTTACTATGGCCATTCGCTCTATAAATGCAAACTAGATCATCACTCGATACAGATGCTAATTTATCCCGCAGTGTCCAAGGCACACTCGAGACCATTTAGCCCGGTCGCTAATTTACTGCTCAAGGTATTGACGAGGACGAGGAGAAGAGAGCTTCATTACCATCCTCACCGCTACTTTTGGACGGCTCCGACGCTTTCGAAAGTACCGGTAGAAACTTTAAACCCCTAACAGCTCTCTTCAAAGAATGCGACTTCAAGACGACGACGTAAAAATAGATTGGTCTCTTTCCTGATTGTCTTTCCCTTTTAACCACTTGTCCGAAGAGTATTTGCGGCATGGAGACATGGAGACGGCTGTATACACACGACAAATTCATCGAAGGCACTCGAGCACATAGTTGCCAAAGCTGGGGGGCTTGCAGCGGCTGTCACATAATTAAGCAGTTCAATAAAGTTGGATCAAATGGACTCGTAGCAGAAGCCGAACCAGTGAAAGCACAAGCGCGAGTCTCGGTCAGGTTCTTCATGCGCGAAAATGAGGGGTTAGAGGGTCTTTATGAGCGGAATAGAACGCGTAATGACCAGCACGAAGATTCAAGATGGAAAGGATTCTAGGTGTGATGCAATCGGGTCTGTGTGGTCGCTCATAAGGATATAGACAAGCAGCAAGGAAAAGTCGCCTCCAAGAAAAAAAATCTAGAGCATCGGGTATCAGTGGGGGGATAATAGGTTGGGCTTGCAAGCAACCAAGCGTAGTTGAGAAGCATTCGAGAAACGCCCTGCGAATAGCTCAAATGGCATTTGAGTCGCTCTTTCCGTCCCTTACAAATGAAATGTTTACTTAAGCGAGAGCAGGGGGGCTTCTCGCTTCACAGCCGGAAAATAATTTTAGCTACTTTAGATGAGTGGTATCCAACGTCATAGGTATCAATCGGCGAAATGGACATAATGGCTCAATGGCTTAATGTTGCTAAATAAAGTGTAAGGTGAGAGCATGGTGCACGTGCACATACACGTGCACGCACGGACCTCAGCCTTAGCACGCTCTCACTACAACCTCGCCCTCAATTCTTAGTCTTAAATAATACAAGTCATTCAACCACACACATCAGCAAAGCTTCTTCGTGACTTAGTATTATTATTAGATTAATACTAGCAATAAATTATAAGCCTCGAAGCTTGATTCAATTCATTCCAAAGTATTTCTAGACTTCAAACACCCTTTTCGGCGTGTTAAAATACTTACTTTTCTTTTTAACAATTCGTCACCGTAGCGCGCGATTCGTCAGAACGCGCTTTCATAACATCTTTCGCAATTGATCCTCAATTGCAACCACTTGCTAGTGTAGCGAAAGGTAAAGCCGAACCTAGCGGTTCCTTAAGCAAGAAGCAAAAGGAAGCTGCAGTTAAAGCAAACCTAACTATATAGCAATATTAATATACGAAAAGAAAAAAGGCGGCAAAGGAACTGCTTGCTTTAAAGAACCATCTTTAATACTTAAACTTAAAATCTTTTTATTACTTTTTTAATCGCGCTACTTAACGCTATTAAACGTAAGAAGCTCACTATACGTAATAGCAACTCTGCTTAAAGTATACCTTTAATTCTTCTCCGAAGCTAACAAAAGTAAACTCTTATCTAATGAAAACGAGTTTACTATTCTTTTAAAGAAGATCTTTAAGTCGCTAGCGCGCTTAATCGATAGCGAACCTCCTTTTCTTTCGAGTCCTCCGAGTCCTCTCGAACCACGTACTACGACTATACTTATACGTCGAAAGAAGATGAGTTCGAGTCACAGCTTTAACTTACTTAAAGCTTTAAAGCTGAAAGGAAGTGAGAACTATTAATAATAAAAAGATAAAGTAATCAATATTGCTAAGTCTAATAAGATTAGTAAATATATCAATCTAAAGTTTAAAGCTTTAATACTTATAAAAGTCGACGAATGCGATAATATAATTAAAGCAAAAGACTTGTAAAGATAGTTAGATTAAGATACCGGAAAGTCACAAATGAAGCTTGCAATTACTTTGAATTGCAAAGCTAGTCCTTTAAAACACATATAAAGTAAAGCCATTGCTCTAGATATATAAAAGTCTTTACGACATTAGTATAAAAGTTCTAATACGGTCTTAAAATACAACGCTATTTAGACTTATATTATAATTAAATACAACGATTACCTCTTTTTAAAGAAGTTCGTAATAGCATTCAAGATTGCAATTACGAAGCTTGATTCGCTAGATATTGCGCCGCTTTTATAATAGAATCTCGTAATATTTATCGCTGCTTGCTTAAAGAAATAGCTTATTTAAGCTAAGCGCTAGAGATCGACTTTACGGATAGCGACTATTATATAAAAGAAAGCAGAAATCACCTTCGAGTCTTTTATTAAAGATATCACCGATAAGGCTCGAAGCAGCGACTCAATCAAAACAATTAATAATTAAGCTTTATACGGTAACAAATCAAACTCAAACTCGAACTCGAATAACTCGAATGCGAAAAACAAAGATAGCAATAGAAGTAGAAATACAGCAAATAAATCGAAGTTATAATAAGTTGCAAATAAAAGACTTGATTGCAAGCACTGCAAGCAGCCCAAACCTTTATACCTTTTTAAGGATTGCTTCGTTATCAATAAAAAGCTTCGAAAAGCGTTTGAAAAAAGAATTAATAAGAAAGCCATCTTATATTTCAAGCGTATTAAGAACAAGAAAAGTAAAGGAAACAATAATAATAAAAAGAAAGACGATAAGGAAGTTAACGGAGAGATCTTTTCTTATACGCTCTTTTCTATTAAAAAACCTTTAGCTATTGCTATTATAAATAGCATAGCATATTATACGTCGTCAAACAAGAATCGTTAGCTCTACGATACAAAAGCAATTGATTACGTTTGCAATAATTTCTTTAAGTTTATTATTTATATAACTAAAGAAGATCTCCTTTTTATAAATACTATAAAAAGCTTAGTTCGCCCTTTTAATATTAGCACTTATATTATTAAATGCCTTAAATCACGAAGCTTAGCAAGCGTTATTAAGTATAAAAACACGCTTTACATGCTTTAAAGTCTCGTCAATTTATACTTAAGCTTGAAATTAAGCAAAATCGATAATTACTTAAAAAAAAGTAAGTTGCTTACGGCTATCGATAAAAAGATCTATAAAGTAGATGCTAAGCTATTTATTATTAAAGATGACTCTTGCGCACCTTTTGCTTTTGTTACCGGCTATGCTCTACTTGCAGCTATTAAAAAAGCTTTTATTGATATTGAACTCTAGCACAAACGCATATGCTATACTAGCTTATAAGCGGTTCGCGATACTTAAAATAATATTATCGGAATAAAGTTCAAAAAGACTAAAATTAATAAAACACGTGTTTGCGCTTTTTATAAGAAAGGTCGTCTTATTCGAAAGACTAATAAAGTGTTAGCACGCAAAAGACTTACGATTGCTTTATAAGAGCTACACGTAAATATAGTCTATTTGACTCTTACTAAGATCCACGGTTATAATATAAACACCTTGCCTGATAGGGTACTTGCTATGGCCATTAAGGCCATACTAGACGGACCCATCTTCTATAAGAGGGCATACATCTTTTAGCTAGAATAATCAACGAGCTTTCCATTTACCTTTTCTGACACTTCTTTTGTAAGATTATAAAGTCTAGCTTTAAAGCTAAGCTTTTATATAGCATATCTTTTTAAGTGCTTTTACTGTGACGACCTTAAGCGATTACCTGAAAGAACTCACGGGAGCGCGGGGGTTCACATAAGAGCTCAAGAGAATCTCAAAGTAATGACTTAGAATCAACAACTACTAAGTGTAGAAGTCGAAAGTAGCTAAGGTCTATATACACGAAGGTAGAAGCGCTAAAGACTCGTGAACTATAGTTCATAGGTCAAAAGCGGAGAATGAGAGAATACGAAGAATACAAAAGGAAAAAGGAAGGAAGTAGCTTAGCGCATATAAGGTGCGTCCAAGAGACTTAGCGTGTCGTCACACTACTCCCCCGTCCGAAAAAAGCTCGTCCTCGAGCGTCTATCTATTGCTTTATCACTATTCAAGTGATCGTAGTCATCAACACCGTTCGAATAAGCCTTGATCTAGTCGAAGAGCTTCGCGAGAAGGCCGAAGAGCTCCTTGTGTTTTAAGTGGAAGTCACGTACCTTAAAAGGAGCGTACATGAAGTCGAAAGCGGAGTACTAAGTAAAGTTAATGTCGCGGCCGAGCTAAGAAGCGCGGTACTCGAAGTGCTTCTTGGTTTAGCGCACGGCTAAGATGTTCTTTATTTCGTACTTAAGTTCGCTAGTGATATTAATCGAGTCAAGTTCAAGAATGATTTGCCCGAAAGTAAGGTCATTAAGAGCTTTTCGTAGCCGTCCGAGGTAGAAGACTAAGTGAACTTTTATTGACTCGAAGAGCTTGAGTTTAAAGCTGCTATAAACGTTGTCGGTAACCTCGAACGGTCCGTTCGTAAGGTTATCGAGCTTCTTTAATAGTCGGGAGGTAAGGAACGGGCGCATATCCAACTAAACCTTATTATTGACGTCGAAGTCAACCGGGCGCTTTAATTTATTAGCCTGTTTAGCTATGCGGTCTTAAGCGCGCTAAAAGTGCTTTTTAACGAGGTTCCAAGCTCCGAAGTGGCGGTTAGCGTAAGCGCGAGCTTCGTCTTAGTTGAGCTTGCGAAAAAAGGTTTGGTCGTCAAGTCGTTTTAAGCTTTAATTCCAAGTGGTCCGAGGGGCGTAGCCGTGAATTACTTCAAAGGGGGAGAGGCCGCCGAAAGAGTCGTAAAAGAGCGTCAATTGGGCGAAGTCCATTATAAAGAAGAACTCGCTTCAATCGTCTTAATAGTAGCTCACGAAAGGACGGAGGCGCTTCTGCAAGTACTAGTTGTAGATTTCGGTTTAACCGTTAGTCTCAAAGTGTGCGGCGGTGCTAAGGGTCAGTTTAGTGCCGAGGATTTTATTAAATTCTTTCTAGAACTCAGACCAGTATTAAGGTCCTTTATCAAAAGTCAGCGTCAAAGGAGCTCTAAAATACTTATAGATGTGGTAGATATAGAGCTTGGCGAGGCTTCTGGCGTCGATGGACTTGTAACAAAAGATCGAGATTGCTTGCTTAAAGAAGCGGTCGATTACTATAAAGACGTTGTCGTAGCCGTGTTTGTCTTTATTGAAGCTACAAAAATCTATAGTGACGTGCTCTTAAAAGCGCGAAAGGATCGAGAAAAGTTAGAGCAAGCTAAGTTTCTTATCGCGGGGCACTAAAGCTCGTCTGCAAGCGTAGCAGTTGCGGCAGTACTAGTTGACGAATCTAGCTATACCGTGCTAGTAGTACTGTGCTGCAAAGAGCTTATAGGTTTTGCGAGAGCTAAGATGTGCCGTAAATACTTGGTCGTAGACTTTTCGGACGAGTAACGAGCGTAAGTTTTAAACGTCGAGAACTAATAAGCGGCCGTCATAAAGCAGCAGGTCGCCTTTTATAATGAGTTTGGCCCGTGAACCGTGGTTCACGAGTAAAGACTCAGCTCTAAAAGCTTGAATTCGAAGTGCTGTGAAACTAAAAGCGGTCCGATTAGCTTCTAAGACTTAGTTAATAACTCGGAATATAAGTGAAAGCTTCGCGATCTCTTCGATAATGACGGCGGTCTTCGAAGGCGTAAGTTAGCGTAGTTCTTCGGTCAAGAGTCGTAGGTCAACGTTGTCGGCGCGAAGCAGCGTTTGCAAGCGTTGAGTGCGCTTAAGGTTGTTCTAAGAAAGGAGCTCTTCGGTGCGACGTGTTAGCGCGTCAGCCAAAAAGTTGTCTTTACCTAGCTTATACGTGATAATGAAGTTGTAGTCGGAAAAGAGCTTTGCTTAGCGTGCTTGACGAGCGTTAAAGGTCTTGGAGGTCATGAAGTACTCTAAGGCCTTGTGGTCGGTGATTACTTAAACCTAATGAAAAGAGCCGGCGAGTTCGGCGCGGAAGTTACTAAAGGAGCGTATAATAGCTAGCATCTTTTTATCGTAGACGACGTAGTTGAGCTTAGCGGGAGCCATAGTTTTAAAGTAGTAAGCGACTGGTAGCCAGTCGAAACTATGCTTTTAAAAAAAGACTAAGGCGATTACGCCGTCGGAAGCGTCAGTTTCTAGCATACAAAAGAGGTCTTAGTTGTAGTGTTGTAAGATTAGCGCAGTAATCAGGGCGAGCTTTAAGAGGTCGAAGCTTCTTTGACACTAAGAATTGAATAAAAAAAGAACGTTAGCTTTAGTCAAGTGCATTAAAGGCTTCGCGATCACGCCGTAATCTCGAATGAATCGGCGGTAAAAGTTATAAAATCCAAAGAAGCTTTAGACGCCTTTGACGGTCGTAAAAAGCGCTCAATGCTTTACTATCGACGTCTTATCCGGATCTACCTTTAAGCCTTCGGTAAAAATGATAAAGCCTAAGTATTTTACCTTGGTTGTACTGAATTCGCATTTTTTAATATCAGCTTAAAGGCCAGCGTCGTCGAGTCGTTAAAGGACTTAGCGAACGTAATAAGCGTGCTCCAAAAGGTCGGAGGAGTAGATCAGGATGTCGTCTAAATATGCCGTGCAAAAGATGTCTAAGAAGTCGAAAAAGAGGTCATTCATATAGCGTTAGTAAGTGGCGGGTCTATTGGTCAGTCCGAATAAAAGAACCTTGCACTTATAAGCACCGTAGCGTGTCTTAAATGTTGTGAGCTCTTTTGAAGCTGAGTCTATCTGTATTTTGTGAAAGGCTTGCCGAATGTCGAGTTTCGTAAAGATTTTAGCTCTTAAAAGACGTGCGAAGGTCTTATCGATCAAAAGGAAAGGGTATCGATCTTTACGAGTAAGGTTGTTTAGCGCGCGGAAGTCAATATAAAAGCGGAAGGAACCGTCTTGCTTTTTAGCAAACAAGATTGGAGCTGCAAATAGCGCTATTGAAGGTTCGATAAAACCTTTGTTGAAATTGTCGATAAGGTAGGCTTTAGTAAGCTCTAGCTTAAGGATCGACATCTTGTACAATAGTGAGTACCGAAGCGCCTTCTCCCTTCCTTCGAGAAGCTCGATTTTGTAGTCGTAAGGCTTATATGGTGCTAGCACGTTGCTAGCGGCCTTAAAGAATACGTATGCGTAATCAGAGTATTCGAGAGAGATAAGAAGGTCGTTAGTGAGCTTTAACAGTTCCGCTGCAAAGTCAATAGCAAAGATAGAGCCGTTAGTAAAGCGTGTTAGCGATGCTTGATAGTCAGCTTAAATAGAAGCAATCGTTTGACGCTCGAAGATCAAGCAATCGAGCTCGTAAAAGGACGTAAAGAACAGTTCTACGTCTTTTTAGCGAGCGATTATATAGAAAGCGTGTTCGAAGACGCCGTTGATTTTGAGGTTTCTATTAATTTTGTGCTTAAATGTTTAGCGGGAGCGTTTAACGAGTAAAAGAGGTTCTACGGAAGCGATGTCGGTTGACATAAGCTCACGGTTTATCTAAGATATTGATTTAGCGTAGTCTTTAGAAAAAGTGTTTTTCGTAAAGCGAAGGAGTGACGGCTCTACGAGAAGGTGAATAGAAGAAAAGGGTTCAACGATCTTAAAAAAGGAAGCGGAAGGAGGACGATTCCGAAAAGAAAGAGGTGATTTAGCGATTATTGTTACTGCTTGATCCGCTCGTGAACTATAGTTTACGAGTGAATTAGCGTCGTAAGCTCTTTAAAGGCGGTCTAAGGCTCGATCACGCTTATTAGCGTCGTGTTAGTGACGAGCGTTTACCTTACGCTAGTTAAGGTATGTAATCTCAATAGGTTTAGCGTAAGTAGCGGTCGGAAGGTTAGAACGAAGCTAATAGAGCTTGCGGCGAGCGCAGTCAAAGAGAATCTGGTGCTTAATTAGCTATACTCGTTCGAAGATCACGCTGTGATTCCCAAGGTTAATGATAAAAAAAGGAGTAAAAGATTAGACGCGCTTGTCAACCGTAAGGTTGAGAAGTGTAAAATGTGAAATAGTGGCTCCACGAGCTTTATTGTATGACTTGATAAAGAATAAGGCCGGGAAGGGTTAAATTAAAGGTTTAAGAAAGAAAGAAAGCGATTTGAGTAGCGCTAAGTCAATTAGCGCGTACTTATTAGCTCTTGAATCGAGCAAAGCAGATACCTTATACGAAAGGCCATTCTTAATAAGGGTGACGGGTATAATCATGGCTTTACCACCAAGGAGCTTCGTAAGGTCGAGGTATCGCATATCTCGAAGCTAGCCTAAGAAGGAGGCTTTGCTTAAGCCTCGACGTTTCCTCTATTGTCGGGAGCGTCGAAGTCAGCAAGAAGGAGCTCTTGGTGATCCTTAAGAGCGTCGGAGTAAAGCCTATCGTCCGAGTCATCCGAATAAGGGCCGTATTCAAGTCTAGCGCCGTATTCTATCTCGTTGATTAAGTGGTAGCAAGAGAGCTTCGGCGTATTCGAGTCCTTGCGGGACGATCTAAGGGTTTTAATTGCTAACCTAAGGGCGTTTCCGGAAGAAAAGAATTTATTAGATCGATTAGATCGATTTGCATTAGCGCTAAAGCTGTTGAAGGTTTAGCGCTAAAAGGTAAGGAAAGAGACGGGGGTTGAGCTACCTTAGCGGTTCTCGTAATGAGTGATTTGCTTGACCGCTGCTCTTTAGGCCGAGCGGGATTCGTTACGAGCTCTATTATAAGAGCTCTTTGCGAATTAAGTATTATACCTGGCCTGTAGAGCGTCGTAAAGCCTTGCAGACGCGTATTGGCCAGCAGCTAACTGCTAGACGGCGGTCTAGAAGTCCTTGAAAGTTGTAATCTTAGCAAATTCTAAATAGAGCTGGTCGCGCAGCGTTTTAGTGATCTTAGAACGCAAAGCCTCACGTAATCGGTCTTCGTCTTTGATTTCGGCGATAGCGGCAAGCTCTAAGAAAACAAAGTAGAAGTCTTAAAATTGCTAGTTAAGCCTTATATAAAGTTTTTCGAACTTAATTGACGCTTTGGCCTTCTTAGCGAGGTCGTTTAAGAACTCGAAAGCGATCTGGACGAGTTCCGAAGCGGTTACGGAGTTGCTACGATCTATGACCAAAAAGGCTAAGAACAAGTGGGCTGTTCTTTCGGTTTAGTCAAAGACGTAGTTCTTGCGCTAGCGTTCTGTAAAGAAGTATTCATCGAAAGCTTTTAAGTTGTCGAAGACGCGGGCTTGCTAATAGCGTGCTCGGTAGCTTACACCGTCTAAGAGCTTCTGTTCAAAGTTAAGGATCCGCTCGATACGAGCGCGACCTTAAGAAGCTAAGGAGGAGGCTTTAAAGGTCTTAAACCTAGCTAAAGTGCGAGGGTTGGTTGGCCTGTGAAGAGAAGGTAGTTCATCGTCGTCGGCGAAGAAGCGGCGAAGGTTGGCGGTTCTATAAGTAAAAAGAGTAGCCTAAAGGACCGAAGGCTTATATAGCTCCTTACCTTTGGAATTATCTTCGAAAGAAACTTAAAGAGGCTCTGACGGGCGTTCCGTAGTTAGCAAGACCGCTTGGAGCTGGTCCAGTTCTTTTCGAGCTCGACGAGCTTCTTTTTTAGCCCTTTCGGCGAAGGTTTTTTATTCGCTAGCGCTTTTATCGAGCTCTTCGTTACGGGTTTTCATGTCTGCGAAAAGCTTCTTGAGCTTAGCGGCCTCTCGTTAGGACTAGAAGAGAGCTTGGTGTTGGGCCAAAGCTTTCTCGGGGTTGGTAAAGGCCGAGGGATCATCTTTATCGTCTTGCTCACTAATAGCTTCTTCTTAAGTAGAAGGAACTGCTGGTTGGGCCGTAAAAGAAGAGGAGGGAGCTGCTGGAGCAGCTTTAAAAGGTGTGCGAAGGATTTTGCCCGCGAAGCGAGGGTTGCTGTGTTATATAAGTGCTATCTTTCAAGTTGTACTTAAAATAGGCCTTTTCGTGACCGTTAAAGTCGTTTGAATGTTTTTTGACGTCTAACCATTAAGGAATTCTAAAGAAGAAGAATATTATTAAAGCCGTTCCCGGCGGAGTAAGGTAGTTGTTGATAATATAACGACCTTAAGCGATTACTTAAAAGAACTCACGGGAGCGCGAGGGTTCACATAAGAGCTTAAGAGAATCTTAAAGTAATGACTTAGAATCAACAACTATCGAGTATAAAGGTCGAAGGTAGCTGAAGTCTATATATACGAAGGTAGAAGCGCCAAGGACTCGTGAACCATGGTTCATGGGTCAAAAGCGGGGAATAAGAGAATACGAAGAATACGAAGGGAAAAAGGAGGGAAGTAGCTTGGCGCATGTGAAGTGCGTCCAGGAGACCTGGCGTGTCGTCACATTTACATTAATCGTCGGCTCGCTTAGGTGGGCCTCCTTTCATCCTTTCAGTCTTAGTCGGCATAAGCGATTGCGGATCGGAAGCGAATGCGGATTTTTTTATTTTGCTACTAGTTTTTGTATACAAAATACAATTTACAACATCATTCTTTGATCTACCACCGCACAATTCAATCGCATTCTATAATCAATTATAGGCCGAAAACGCACTCGCTCGAAGAAGCCTTCAAGGATTTTTCAATACAAAAGCCACGCTCAACCAAGTAGTCTTAATGCAATTGAAGATCTTGCGACGCGTCTCTAACGCGCTACAACCTTTTTGTCCGAATACCCTTAAGAGACTCAAAAAACTGCTGCGCGTATATACGACCTTAATGAGCGCACATTGAACAGTCACCTTAAGCGACCGAAAAATCGCAAGCGCGGCGGTCAAAATAAGATCTTGCAAAGCTAGCATATCAACGCGTTACGCTAATTCATCGTTCAGCTCCTTGCTAATTAGCTTACTCTTACACCGCAATTGATCTATAACGTTATATTCGCCTTACGCAAAACATACGATGAATACGCGAAGCCGCAGAGCTAGAGCTGGTTTACAAAGTAGTGGAAAACGAGTGGCCTCCACAAAATCAAGACTAAACCTCTCGCTCGAATCCGAATATCAGCGCAAGACACGAACGCGGTACACAAGTGGTTTAAAAGCTATCGACGCACCTTGAAGAAGATGAATATTCGACTTAAAGATATCATCAATTTCGACGAGACTAAGTTCCGTATTAGCTGTCCGCGAAGAACGGAAGTATTAGTTCTTAGATCTATTTAAGAAGTATGTCGTGCTATATCGTATTATATAACTTATTTAATATTATATATTAATTTTTATATATAGTTCTACAGTGTTAGCCTTAAGAATCGAAGATCCGTAACAATAATCGAGATGATCAATGCGACTGGCCAAAAACCTGTTCTTCCGATGATTCTTATTTAAAGCAAACGACTCATACAGCAATGGTTCGTTTCGAACTTTCTTATAAGCACACTTATTAAAGAAGCTAATAATAGATTCACGGACAATAAAATCGCATTGCTATACTTCGAGCATTATATTAAAAACGCAGATTATAGACCGAATAAACCTTAAAAGCTTATGTTAATAGATAATCACGCCAGCCACCGGACTCCGGAATTCATTAATTTAGCTAACAAAAATCACATTTTACCGTACCCGTTGATTCCTCACCTCACTCATTGCATACAACCTTTTAATGTAAGGATTTTCTAACCTTATAAGCATTACCACGACTTAGCGATTAAAACTGCGCTTGCACAGCTCGACGTCGAGTATACAATCAATTCTTTCTTAAACGATCTCGACCATATTCGCAATCAAACACTTAGTCGATACAATATCAAAAAAGCTTAGAAGAAGTCTAGAATATACCTACCGAACGCAACGCAATGTTTAAAAAATCTTAAGACTTTTACGCCTCTCGAATACATAAACAAAGACGAGCCAAAGCTTCCTCGTACTCCTCGGAAACCAGCGCATATCGAAATCAGCTCGTAGAAGTAGCAAAATAAATGCAACGAGTTATTAAGTAGTCCTTCTCGACAAGAATTCGAATCCTACATAAAAGGTACTCGAGAAGTTGCAGTAAAAGCTACTTTATAAGAACAAGAATTAGCTATTCTCGCTCAACAACGAAAAG